AGGGAGACAGAGAAGACTGGGTTGATGTGTGAAAGAAAAGAGAGAGAGAGAGAGAGAGACAGAGAGAGAGAGAGAGATGGGGGTGGGGGTGGGGAGAGAGAGGGAAAAGGGTGAGGGAAAGCGAAAGATAAAAAAAAGTTGGTCCCATGTCCATGTGAACGTAGGGGACATGTTCGCAGAGAAATATGCATACTAGGTCGCGGGATAATGCGGTAGGGTGGCCAGTTCCTTTCCGCCCCGACCTTGACCCCAACATGCTGACATCAGCATATCAGTACTCATTCACAGCTGAGTCGACTGAGAGGGGAGGCGGCCGGGCGCGAACCCAGGACCTTGCGATTGCAAAGCCAGCGCTCTACCACTGAGCCACCCTCTGATAGATAAATAGATAGAGAGAGAGGGGGGGGGCGAGAGCGATAGAGAAAGAGAGAGAGAGAGAGAGAGAGAGCAACAGAGAGGCGTAGGGACGAGGGCGAGAGAGAGAGAGAGAGAGAGAGAGAGAGAGAGCGACAGAGAGGCGTAGGGACGGGGGCGAGAGAGAGAGAGGGGGAGAGAAGACAAGAAAGAGAGAGAGAAGGAGCGCAAGAGAGAGGGGGGGGGGTGAGGGACAGACAGACAGAGAAAGAGACATAGAAAATGAGAGAAACAGAGAGAGTCTTTGGACAAGTCTTGAGCGGTCATTCGTGTTGTTAATACTTTTTGTTAATACTTCAGCGTACTGTGTGGAATAAGGTGTTCGATATTTTGCCCTAACTCGCCCTATGCCTGGCAGTGCATTCAGCAGCCAACCAGCAATGATGTCGTTAGCCAAACAACAAACGTACCTACAAAAGATGGCTTATGTTGTATTAAGCTTCGACTAACTACATAATCATACTACATTCATAAAGACAGTGTTATTTGTGTACAGGATCTTCTGGTATCACTACTAAAATGATAGTAGTATATGCCATTATCCATTTATGTAAACAGCCATTTCGTGTTTGATGTAAGTTAACGCAACACTGCTAGATAAACTATTAAGAAAACACCGAATCTCATTTTCTGCTTTTAAATAAACCTCTCTGCTTCTCCCTCACTATAGGCTACAATATATATGGAAGATGTTCCAAATTTCTGTCAATGTCTCTGCTGCGGGAGAAACGAAAGAGAATATATATATATAATCGAGATAGTATATAGATGTGCTGTAAGCTTTTCGTAACAAGTCGCTAAGAACGAATGAAATGGCTCTTTAATCTTGAACTTAAATGGTCCTCAAAAAGTCTTCATATGTAATGTGTTCTGTGCTCGGCCATGTAAGATGTAGCGTTATATGCTCTCTCTCGTGTAGCCGATTATTTTGAGGCAAACGTTATTCACTGACATTTGCAACACGATCTTAAAACACTTGTTGAAACTTACTCTTTTAAGAAACATCTACCTTGCCTGTTTTCACATCTATTCAATATGTTGTGAATAGGCTGCCCAACATTTATCTCAGGACGTAGATGTCAGCATTGGTTGCAGGGTACTGTTTCAAAATGCAACCAAGAATCCATATTGCATTTCTTGATCTCATTCTACTCTTAATGCTGCAAAGCCTTTATGTCTGAACAAATGGTTAGCTTAAACATTCAAGGTAAGTTCTTAACCTGGATTCTATCGGATCTGCTGAATCAAACTGTTCTCTTCGGTGGAATGAATAGCGCTTAGTCGACTGTTTGGACTTGGCACACCTCAAGGCGGAGTACTTTTTCTCATGTCTTGAACATCCTAACGACCAGGTGATAGTTTAATTTAAATCCTAATCCGCGTCGAGAATGCAACACAATCTCGTTGTATTCTCAGTGACGGCAAATGAGTGTGAACTGATATTCTCAGGAAATGAAGTGTTCGCACCTTATACAGTTCTACTGCCAACCTCTCGTGTAAAATAAGATGAAGTAGATTTCCACCACTGACACAAGTATCCTGAAGTGATTGCTGGTAAATACAGGTCCTTAGAAATCTGTATAAAAGAAAGTTCGGTTGTAGGAATGGGTGAAACAAATCACTAACGGTTCTTGTTGGCAAGATGATGGCATCCGTCTCAACTTTGCTAGGTTATTTTACTCAAACTACACCTGATCAGTCAAAGGTGCTCTATATCTTTCAGCATTTAAAGACTTAGAGTTGACCTGTCTGAATTTTGTGCCAAATAATATGCGTGCGTCCTTTTTCGACGCCATTAGATAGAGAGTTAATGAGAGGACAGTGCTGACGTGCACTCTGTGTGCGAGAGAATAGTATATTTCAGTACCAATGTCAGTCTTTGCTCCGTGGCCTAATAGGCTTCTGCCAGCAGCCGCGCTCTACCAGGAATACAGATTTATGTATTCAATTTGCACCTAATCAAGTACGTGTGTCACTTGTCTGTGGTTGAATAGTGTCGACAAGAGGTCTAAAGATAGAGGAAGCACAGTCTGATGAGTCAGTGAGCGTAATTTTAAGAACACTTTCGACTGACATG